TGTTGTTGTCTTGAATGCAGATTAATGTTTCTTCAGCTGATGAAAATCTGAACCTATATGATTGTGGCCACCGTTTCGAACACATTCAACTTTTGCTAGTGCTGCTCCGCGCGCTTCCGTATGCACCAAGGTCGTTCCAAGCTCGTGCTATACAGGTGCGTTTTATTATTGTGCATGGTTCCATTTGTCGTGTCAAACCTACTTTGTCTGCTTTGTGCTAGTTTTGAACTGCCATTGATTTCCCTCATCTTAACAGAACCCAGCTGCCCATACAGGCAAGGGAAAACTTGCCCACTGAGGAGAGTCGATTGATTCTATCATGTGGGCAAGGCCGTTGCTAAGGCTAAAATTATATCATGTTGTGTCCACAAAATAGTTTGAAATAAATGCTGCATACTCTTACAACAATTTTACCTTTGTGTTAAATAGACCCTCATAATTCTGAATTCATCTTATGCTTTCAATTTTTCAAGACAAAATAACCAAACACCTAGCTTTGCTAACCTTTCTTTCCTGAGCTATTGCTTATGTGAGCTAGTTTTTCCTCGCCTTGGAAAGCAAGGTGGCATGGGATCCAATCATGCCCTCAGGTTTTGGAGTTGTAACTTTGGTATTTTTCAGCTTCATTTATGCAAACCATTCTCAGTCAAACCACATGCATACTTAGCAGTGGTCAAGGTCATCAGTAAAAGTCAGCGGAGAACTCAAAAGAGCAATCTACAGATATCTGTGTTATTTGTGTAGTGTAGGTGCGCATTGATGATGTCATGTCGCCAAATACTTGCACGTCTGCAACTCCGCCTGCTTATATTTCATGATCTCTGTTAATTTTGTTTGCTCTATTCCATTGTTGATTTTTTTTTTGTAACCTTGTTTGCCAGCTTACCTGCTTATTTTCTTAGGGTCTCAAAATTTCCTTCTGTATCATTTCAGGATATTCTGTTTTTGGCTTGCAGTCATCCTGAGAATAGAACCACAATGACCACAATTGCAGAATGGCCAGAATGGATTTTAGAGGTTTTGATTTATATTCATGAGGTAAGTATCACAAGCTTTTGACATTATTTCATGTTCTAATTAAAATCATATAGAATGCACTAGTTTCATCGACTACATTTTGTACTGTTTTCTACCCATAGCTCTAATTCAGATGTTTACAATTATAGAAGGGTAGTAAAAAATATGTCGATGGTGTAAGCATTGGTGAGATTGAAGACCTTGTACATAATTTCCTGATTATCATGCTGGAGCATTCAATGCGACAAAAAGATGGGTGGAGGGTAAGATAACTTCTTTTCCAGATCAATTTACTCAGAAACGCTTTTGCTTTTGGGTCGTGCAACCTTCTTTCTGGGTTTCGTCGGGTTGATTGTATCACTACCGGCTCCGCCTTGTAACTTGAAAGATTTTGCTATTGCTGTGACAACATAGGATGTGGAGGCTACAATTCATTGCGCAGAGTGGCTTTCAATGGTTGGAGGATCTAGCACTGGAGACCAACGGTTGAGGTACTCTCTCTCTCTCTCTCTGCATGTATATGTGTACGTCTGTAAAGCTGAACTACAATCTCGGTACCTGTTCTTCTTAGGCGCGAACAGTCATTACCAATTTTCAGAAGGAGATTATTAGGTGACCTGCTTGATTTCTCTGCCAGGGAGCTTCAAGTTCAGGTAAATGCTCTTTTCTCGACAAGATTTTCTTGCATTCTTATGCATGTCCAAGCTGTTGTTTCTTACATTCTTTGCTGTTACTACTTGCTTTAGTTGATTTCTCTTTGTCATGTGATGTAGCTTGTTTGGTCCTGGCCCATTTTAAGCCCTCTTTGTATCACCCAAAAGAATAGAAAAAACACAGTAAAGGCAGGAACAGAAAAAGTGCATTGATACCACATAAATAGAAATTTCGTACTTCCTCTGATCCATATTAATTGACGCTGCTTTAGTACAACTTCAGCGTCAATTACTATGGATCGGAGGAGTAGCATTTTCTTCTGGTTTAAAGGGTTTTTATAGGAAACGATTCTGGGTAGAACACCACAATTGATACCTTGGCATTTCCACAACCCCATTTGAACACGCAAGCGACACTTTGCACCTAGATGTAGCACTACTAGGCCTGGGCGTTCGGTAGAAACCGAAAATTCGGTTAGTAAAACAGGAAACCGAAAATAGCAAGCAAAAACAGCTAACCGACATCTCGGTTAACCGAAAATTCGGTACGGTATTCGGTTTTATACCGAAATCCATGCTTTTAGTATTCGTGCTGTGCGTGCAGCCGCGGCACCCTCTTATAGGCGAAAATACCTGCCACATCTCCTCAAGCGGGCGAGGTGGGACTAAAGGAGCCAAATACCTGTTGTTCTCCTGCCGCACGCGCAGGCACACCCGCCCACGTGAGCTGGGGTTGGGCCTTGCATCCTTGTAGCCTTGTAGGCCATGCATCCTTGCATGCACTTTGTCAGGGAGGCCCACGTTTTTCCTTTGTTTATTCATGCACGATGCGGTTGCTCGCTTAAAGCTTAAGCGATCGTGGGCGCAGCCTAATAAAAAAAGAAACGATCGTGGCGCGTGACTCTCTGTGTCGTTGGCTGCGCCTGCTTTTACATTTGTTCGGTCTTTCTTTGGTTAACCAGATTGAAAACCAAACCCACCGAAGTCTATTCGGTTAGTAGACAAGAAAACCGAATATTTCTGTGACAGTAGAAAAAACTGTAAATCCGGTTTATTCGGTTTCGGCTTCGGTTCGGTCTTCGGTTCATCGGTTTTTATGCCCACCCCTAAGCACTACAACGCCAAGAACATTGCACTGTTATTTATGATGTTACTGGGACTGCATATATCCAACTCTATTTGTTTTTTCTTTTGAACTTGAACAATAACTACCATGCTACTAATGTTACCTTGGACTTGAGCAATATCCAACTCCACTTTTTACTTTATACTTTTATCTCTATTCGTAATGTGCCTTCCTTTTGCGTGCCCTACAACAGACTGAAGTAATTGCAGCAGCTGCTGCTGGTGTTGCTGCCGAGGGCTTGTCTCCTGAAGAAGCAAAAGTGCAAGCAGAAAATGCTGCTCACCTCTCAGTAGCACTAGCAGAAAATGCAATAGTTATCCTCATGCTTGTAGAAGATCATCTGAGGACACAAGGCCAGCATTTTTGTGTGTCCCGTGTACTCAATAGTGTTTTTTCTTCTGCCTCCATTGCTTCGTCTGCTCCCAGTCGGATAAATTCATTGAGCAGAGCTGGTAGTGAGCATATGGATACTGGACTCTCAAGGCGGTCATCTTTGTCCAGTGATGCTGGTGGCCTTCCACTAGATGTAAGAAGTGCAGACTGCAGACATTTATATTCAAGTCAGTTATTGGCATTATTCTGATCAAATGGATATTTATTTCTAAAGGGATTAAAATTTGAGTACTTTTACATTTACCTTTATATGCAATATGAATAGATATGTTTCCTTCAAGATGATGTGTCATGTTGTTGGAAAATCATGATATTAACCTGGATTTAGACTTTTAGATTGATTTCATACTTTACCCATGTTCCTGGAACCCTAGCATATCATTTACTAGACTTATATAGTACTCCCTCTGTAACTTAATATAAGACGTTTTCTGATACTGTCATAGACTCCAAAACATCTTATAAAAAGTTAGTGGTAGTAGCTATTGAACTCCTCATGGCTAGGATATGTAGCAAACGTTTTTTTTTCAACCTAGTCAGCTTGCCCACCTTGTCCTGCATTGGCATTTAATTGCATGGGGAATGCTAGGATATTTCTCATTACAGGTACCGATCATGTTTGATCTACTGCAAATTGCATGTAGAATAGAGTGTAAGTTTTTTGTTAACAGATTATAGATAGGAAGGCACATTCCACTTTAATAGAGGTGTTCTACAAGAAAGTTTCTTGTAGTCTGTCTATTATTGTGCACAAGCACTCACACGTGGCAGCATGGAATACCTGTGAAGTTGATAAGCACTACTGGAAATTAGGTTCCCTTTTTAAGATTTACCATCAATTTTGGTATTTTTTCTGGTTACCTAATGAACCTGCATGTAATTCAGTGTTCCTTTATGGCTTATGTATAATTTTAGATATTGCAGACAGATTGGCAGATAGTTTTTAAAATTTATTCATATGAATGCTGCATTTATTCTTGATTCTGTGTGACCAAAGCAGGTGCTTACTTCTATGGCTGATGCAAACGGACAAATTTCTGCTGCCGTGATGGAACGCCTTACAGCAGCAGCAGCAGCTGAGCCATATGAATCTGTCAAGCATGCCTTTGTGTCTTATGGGAGCTGCATTGCAGATCTTGCAGAAAGCTGGAAATACAGAAGCCGCTTATGGTATGGTGTAGGCATTCCATCCAAATCTGATTTATTTGGTGGTGGTGGAAGTGATTTAGAATCTTGGAGATCTGTTTTAGAGAAGGACTCAAATGGGAATTGGGTTGAGCTTCCACTTGTGAAGAAATCACTCGAAGTGCTGCAGGCACTCTTGTTAGATGATTCTGGACTTGGCGGCGGTCTTGGTATTGGAGGGGGGTCTGGCCCTGGTATGGGGGTTATGGCTGCACTTTATCAATTGCTAGATAGTGATCAGCCATTTCTTTGCATGCTCAGAATGACTCTTGTTTCGATGAGGGAGGATGACAATGGTGAAGGTGATGCTCTTTTGAAGAACACTAGTATAAAGGACGTCATATCAGAAGGAAGCCTGGTGCCATTTGATGGCAACAGTCACTCATCTACAAGGAAACCCCGGCCTGCACTTCTTTGGAGGTACATACTATGCACCATCAAGTATCAATTATCAAAATGGAATATGTACTTTTTCAACTGCAGGAAAAAAAGATATACAAACTATACTTTCCCATTGAACTACCAGAATCCATTTCGAGAGGAAAAACGTTAACAAAACTCAAAGTTCACTTGATACCTTTTAACTGAAAACTTTAGGAGAAAATCCATTTAGCATAGCAGAGTCCTGTGCTAAGAATCTCTGATAGGAGCTGAACATTTGTATATAAAATGCGTTGGAATAGTCTTTCATGTTGAAAGAAATCTTCTTCATACTGTTTTGCCATTATGTAATAATATCCAGAACTTTGATGGAAGGACAGTTGCCTTAATATATATTACATAGGTGGTCAGCCTGTCTATTCTGGGCTACTGTTATGTCAATTTTGATTTTACTAACTCTTATAACTGTACAGTGTGCTTGGCCCAATCTTGAATATGCCTATTACTGAGTCGAAGAGGCAGAGGGTGTTGGTTGCTTCTTCTATTCTCTATTCAGAGGTGAGTTTGTTACTTTGCCTTGCATACAAGCATGCCACGCCCTAATAGTCAATTTCATTCCACGCCCTAATAGTCAATTTCATTCCACGCTCTATTCTTTGCCTACGATTCTAATGCCAAAGAATAATCTGTCTGTGCGAATTTGTAAAGCTACTGTGATTTATTAATCATTGTGCGATAACTTAGTACATAAATGTTCATCACGTTACACTTTCTGTAACTTCTTATTTATTAGAGATAGTAATCTGGACAGTAAAAATATCATATATGTTCATGCTATCTTGCTCGTGATGCAGGTATGGCATGCTATTGGCAGGGACAGAAGCCCCCTAAGGAAACAGTACATTGAGCTGATTTTACCACCATTTATAGCCATCCTGAGAAGGTGGCGGCCACTTTTGGCTGGTGTTCATGAGCTAACTTCTTATGATGGTCGGAATCCACTCATTGCTGATGATCGTGCTCTGGCAGCAGATGCACTACCCATCGAGGTACTAACTGGTTATTTGTATCCCGTCAATGAAGTTACATAGTGTTAATGCTGAATTCTGCATCAGTGGTATATTGCACTAGCAAAATATGGTGATATGTGTTATGCTTGTTTTACTCGTACCCTCTCTCTTTAAACTGGGAAACAGCAAGTCCACGGAATATCTTGTTATTTTGCTTACCTTAGTCCATAAATGGAAGGTTGGATGGGTCCAATCACCCATAGACTCACCATAAGCTGATAATCTTAAAATAGTCTAACATGATTTATCTAGCTTCTCCTAATCTGGTAATATGATTCACACCTGTTGACACTCGCCCTACTTTCTGATCCATCTTATATTAGTCTCTCAGTGTAGCTATTATCTGCTTGACTTTTTCCCCTTACGTATTTGGCAATTGGTTAGCATTTTTGTTGTGGACACTTTGATATCTAACTAACCTGAGCTCATGCGACTAAATATTCAAATGTGCTTCGTGCCATTTATCATATGCTCATAATTTGTCACAAACTTTGATGAAAAAATGCTGTTGTGTCTTGGCTAGTTTAAAGCTAACTATCAGATGTCGCCAGGCTGCTCTTTCAATGATATCGCCTGGCTGGGCTGCTGCTTTTGCCTCACCCCCAGTTGCAATGGCATTAGCCATGATGGCTGCTGGTGCCTCCGGAACCGAAACAGTAACACCTCGAAGGAATACCTTGAGTAGGCATGACACTTCTTTGCCAGAGCGTAAAGCAGCAGCAAGATTACAGACCTTCTCAAGTTTCCAGAAGCCTGTTGAAACAATGCACAACAAGCCTGGGTCCATCCCAAAGGACAAAGCAGGAGCTAAAGCTGCGGCATTAGCTGCTACACGTGACCTCGAGCGGACTGCTAAGATTGGTTCAGGAAGGGGTCTTAGTGCTGTAGCAATGGCAACATCAGGACAGAGGAGAAGTGCAAGTGATATCGACCGTGCAAAGAGGTGGAATACATCTGAAGCTATGAGTGCTGCTTGGATGGAGTGCCTGCAATCAGCTGATTCTAAACCTGTTTCAGGAAGAGAATTTTCAACCCTTTCATACAAATATGTTGCAATTCTTGTTTCTGGTTTTGCCTTTGCACGGAACTTACAGCGAGTTGAGGTAAATCCACTTGGAATATTTTCATTTCCGATGCTTAGAATTTACTCCCTCCGTTCCTAAATATAAGTCTTTGGAGAGATTCCACTATGGACCACATATGGAGCAAAATGAGTGAATCTATACTCTAAAATGCATCTAGATACATCCGTATGTGGTCCATAGTGAAATCTCTACAAAAACTTATATTTAGGAACGGAGGGAGTATCATACATCCTATAAATTTTTGTTCATGATGCAGATGGAGAGGCAAACACAAGTTGATGTGCTGAATCGGCATCATGCATCAACTGGAGTTCGAGCATGGCGGCATCTTCTTCACTGCCTGACAGAGATGGGAAGACTATATGGACCTTTTGAAGAACCCCTGTGCACTCCTGATCGGGTATGTACAATATAGCTAGTTTATTTATTTTATCTCTGTTTTCGTGCCCAGCTTCTTTATCAAGACACACACTTTGTTGACCGGTACATCTGGGAGTAGTTGAGTTCTTCTCATGTAAGATTCTTCACATCTGCATGAAAAGAAGCACCGTGTCAAAAGAGAGAAAAAAGCTCTAGGACAAATCCTGATATATCTTTTCACTCCTGCATTTTGCAGATTTTCTGGAAATTAGATTTTACTGAAGGTTCTTCAAGAATGAGAAGATTTATGAAAAGGAACTATAAGGGATCTGATCATTTGGGTGCAGCTGCTGACTATGATGATCGGAAGCTTCTTAGTGCTGATGTGCAATCAAATGAATGCAACCCCAAGGGTGCAGATTCTTCATTAACAGACACCATTCCATCAACTGCGTCGGTAGTAATTGCTGAGGCCATGTCAGTGGATGACAGAAATGAGGACATTGAGCAGTTAGAATCCGACACTACTCACAACAGTGCTGATCAACTTCAGTCCTCATCAGCAGATCAACAATCGATGAAAAAATCAGTAGATTCAAGAAGTTCTGGTATTTCTGCCGATCGCAATTTGGTTCGATCCACAGTTGTTGCACCTGGATATGTGCCAACTGAAGCTGATGAGAGAATTATAGTTGAACTTCCATCATTGATGGTGCGACCATTGAAAGTTGTGCGTGGAATCTTCCAAGTAAGCACTGAGAAAAGTTAATGCTTGCCCGTTACGAAGTTCTAGTGCCATGAACAGTCCTGAAAATGTGAAGCTGAGCTTCGATGGTGTTAGAGTTTAATTTATCTTGTAGGCATCTTTAATCTAATGTGTTCTTATCTAGAATTCTGAATTTCAAAATTTAGGGTCCGTTCTCTTAAGATTGGCTAATTAACAATTTAGCTACAGTATATCACATACGTTGCAGTTATTACCAATAAAGGTCGCACTAATTTAACACAATATTTTGCCAGTGTTTTATTCTGTAGTTCAACGGTTTCTCAAAATTACTGTACCATTTCATTTGAAGTAGTGCAATAATATGGCGAGTTTCTTCTTTCCTTGATCCCTCCCCAGACTAGGTTCCTATAATCCCTCCCCAGACCCCACCTTGTGTGGGAGCTTCTATGCACTGGGTCTGTCCTTTTTCTTCTTTCCTTGATGTAGCATGGAGTTCCGTAGCAGGCTACAAACTGTTGGCACTTCTGTATGGATGGATGAGAAAGCTTCATGCTACCTCATTATTAATAATGACTAAAATTGCTTCCTATTTCTGATTTATGTATTCTCTAGTGTAATCATCTATAATCTATCCCTTGTAATGATATATGTTGTGTTAATATTCCATTGTCATGCACTCCTTGTGTGTTCTAGTAAATGTGTACATGAAAACAAATCTGTATTTTTTTTATGGTATCCAAACATATGCACAAAAATATGATGTCAATATGCGTATGGGTGCACCCAATCTGCTTTGTGCTTAACCACATAACCTTTTCATATGAAACTATGACTACGGAATCACAAGGATCTATATGATGGAATTATTCTCCTTTTTCTTCAGTTCCCACTTAAGCTGTTAGCTGGTATCATTCACTCCTGTAATTTTGTTCCCAGGTAACATCAAAGAGGATTAACTTTATAATTGACGAGCATGCAAGTGACAGTAATGTGGATGATCATGCATCCACTAGTGGCCAATGTTATCAGCAAGATAAAGATCGGAGCTGGTTGATCTCTTCTCTACATCAGATATATAGCAGGCGGTAAATTTTATATTCTGATCTGGTTCTAATGTTAGAAGTTGATTCTTCCATACTCCTATGATGCATATATCCTGTTCTGTTGGAACAGAAGGTGTCTATGCTTTTGGACTGAATAACTGTGCAGCATCATCTGTGAATCACCACACCATGTAGTTTAGAGTTTATTTTCCATTTACTCATTTGGTGATTTTGTTGACTTGTTGCAGGTACTTGTTACGACGAAGTGCTTTGGAATTATTTATGGTAGATAGGTCAAATTTCTTTTTTGATTTCGGGGTATGATCTTTATGATACTCTACTATAGTGGTTTAGGTCCATGCCTGACACCGATTAATAACTTCCTTACACTTTTGTGTCTGAATTTCTTATACTTTATCTAGGATATGGAAGCACGCAAAAATGCTTATCGGGCGATTATTCACACCAAACCACCTAATTTGAATGACATTTTTCTAGCTACCCAGGTTAGTGCAATGTTTTTTTCTCCTAATCTCCAGTGTTGTCAATATGCAATGATGATCAGCAGTAATCTATAATATTTTGTTCAGAGAGCTGAGCAAATCCTTAAAAGAACTCAGTTGATGGAGCGCTGGGCTAACTGGGAGGTACGCAAACATTAAATATGTTTCATTTTTTTTCATTTTTGTTGTTGTTTCAAGATCTAAATATGTCCAATTTCTTCAGATTAGCAATTTTGAGTACTTGATGGAACTGAACACTCTTTCTGGGCGCAGTTATAACGACATAACTCAGGTCAGTTTGATGCACATAAAGTTTGTCTAGCCTAAATGTCTAATAAAGTAACCTATCATTCAACTAATCTTATATGCTTGTGCAGTATCCTGTTTTCCCCTGGATAATTGCTGATTACCAGTCCAAAGTTTTGAATCTGGATGATCCTTCTGCATACCGTGATCTTTCAAAGGTTGATCTCCTGCTATTGTTGCTTCTATCTTTTCCCTAATTGTTTAAACTGCTAACCGTAGTGGATATTTGATGCAGCCAGTTGGAGCACTAAACCCAAAACGACTAAAGAAGTTCCAAGAACGGTACTCGACGTTTGAGGATCCAATCATCCCTAAGTTTCATTATGGTTCACATTACTCCAGTGCTGGCACGGTATAATCTTCTTTGTATAGCTGAACCAAATGTTTATCTATAATGTCAGCTAGGTACTATCTCCCGCTGAAGGATTTCCAATCGTATTCTACTCTCTGGGTCTCTGTAGTTCTCAATAACTTTTAGCTCAATCAATTTGTAATTGTGCAGACTAAAAGATGATATTGTAATTACTGTAGAAGAGCCTACATGTTATGCTTGCACATGGCTTTTCCTACATCAGTGAAAACTCTGCATGTGCATCGTATTAATATTAAGATACGACTGTTGATAGGTTCACCCTTCTGAATAATTTTGGTTGGCTACCGGTCTGCTTTTGCTGATGCTGTTCATTTGGTTAGGAGACATGACATCCAATATTTAATTACCGTTGGCCTAAAATTCTATTCTGTACCCCAAGTGCTTTTTTTGATGCAAAACCATTTGAATTTTTTGTACTGATAACTTATATTCATTGCAGGTCTTGTATTACCTTTTCAGGATGGAGCCCTTTACCACATTATCTATACAATTGCAAGGTGGCAAATTTGACCATGCTGATCGCATGTTTTCTGACCTTTCTGGTACATGGGATAGTGTTCTGGAAGACATGAGTGACGTAAAAGAGCTAGTAAGTTGTTGGTGTCTCTCCAGTATGTTTTCCTGGATGTTGATTGGGTGGTACAGACATCCATTCAAGGTTTGCTCCAATTTTATTATATGGTGATATTTATGTAGGTCCCAGAGATGTTTTACCTCCCGGAGGTATTTACCAACATAAATTCTATTGACTTCGGGACAACTCAACTTGGAGGAAAGCTAGGTAAATGCATTTTCCCCTGTGTAGAAGTACGTATCATAATACATGATTGCAGAGTAATGTAATACTGAACAGCATTGCAGATTCTGTAGAGTTGCCTCCTTGGGCCAAGAACCCTGTTGATTTTGTCCACAAACACCGGAAGGCTCTTGAGAGTGAGCATGTTTCGACTCATTTGCATCACTGGATTGATCTAATATTCGGGTACACTATTCTATTCTATTTTACTACTTTTGCAACCTATTTCTTCATGGAATGTTGTGTGCTTGAGCGCACGCTCGAATATACCCACCATAATTTGGTGGAGACTGTTAACTAGTATAATATATTGTATGTAGGATGACCATGCTTATATGGCCAATCTAGTAGGTTTAATCCATGTGACCCATAACTCTTCTGTATCTTTCTTTCTAATGTACTCCCTCCGTTCAGAATTACTTGTCGCAGAAATGGATGTATCTAGACATATTTTAGTTCTAGATACACCCATTTCCGAGACAAGTAATTGCGAACGGAGGGAGTACTAAGATGCAAAGCTTCCATATGATGATTGTACCTATGATGGTTTGAACTTTCTTTCAAGCATTACCTTTTTGTCACCATTAGGATGTTATCTCTTTTCCCATCAGTATAACCTAACCTCATAAACTCAACCCCCTTTTTGGATCGAAATCGAGCACTTTTGATGCTTAAAAAAGCATAAAATCCTTTGGATGGAGCATCCTATTTTTAGTTTGGAAAAAGATTGATGTAATGTAGCAAGATGAAGGATCTGGATTTTCAGTATTGGCAAATTCAACCTTTGTGTTTTTGTGCTTATATTTTGTGTATGACATCCATGAATAAGGTAGGACACCTGGTTACTTGCTTTATGAATATCCTACTTATGTTTTGCCTGCACAATGTCTATGCACTGCCGTTTAATCATCGATACTTCCTTTTGCAGATATAAACAGAGGGGTAAAGATGCGGTAATGGCCAACAATGTGTTCTTCTACATCACATATGAGGGAACTGTTGATATTGACAAAATTGCAGATCCAGTAAGTATTATTTATTTGATTTGGTGTTACATGGTTTTGAACCAGTTCCATTTGGCTGCTGATATTTTACTGAAAATGCTTAAGGTGCAACGGCGAGCCATGCAAGATCAAATAGCCTACTTTGGACAAACACCGTCTCAATTGCTGACTGTCCCTCACATGAAGAGAAAGTCATTGAGAGATGTCTTACAACTGCAGGTACTTTATATTGGCCGATGTATGAGTTCAAGTATTTTTTTTAATTAACCACAATTAGTTATATTGGGTTTGTGTAGCTAATTGAGTTTTGCCTTTTCCCATGCTAGAAATGGGAATGCATTGCCATGCGAAGAAGTGATATAAAAAAAAACTCTGATCCATAATAAGTGTCGTGGAACTAAAACCACGACACTCATTATGGATCCGAGGGAGTAATAATCTAGCTATAGTTCTTCATTACAGAATTTTAGGGTATGGTTGTTCTTTGAATTTAGTGTATCTCCATTTTGTTTATCGTGCTTCTTGATAGACGAGCACTACATCCCTGCAAAATAAATATGAAAAAAAATACTCCCTCTGATCCATAATAAGTGTCGTGGAACTAAAACCACGACACTCATTATGGATCCGAGGGAGTAATAATCTAGCTATAGTTCTTCATTACAGAATTTTAGGGTATGGTTGTTCTTTGAATTTAGTGTATCTCCATTTTGTTTATCATGCTTCTTGATAGACGAGCACTACATCCCTGCAAAATAAATACTACCTCCGTCCGGAAAAACTTGTCCCAAGCTTATTCCTCAAATGAATGTATCTAGCACTAACTTGATGCTAGATACATTCATTTGAGAGACAAGCTTTTTCGGACGGAGGGAGTACGTAATAAAATCGACAACCACTCTTAACAGCTCTTACTGCCTTTTTTGTTTTTGCATGACCTGACCCTCATGATTTACTATGCAGACCATATTCCGGAATCCAAGTGAACTTAAATCTTATGTACTGCCTAATCCAGAACGCTGCAATGTCCCTGCAAGTACTATGCTTGTATCGAATGATTCTATTGTAGTTGTAGATATAAATGTGCCCGCGGCGCATGTGGCACTTCACCAGTGGCAACCAAATACTCCAGATGGCCAAGGGACACCTTTCCTTTTTCATCATGGTAGAAATGCTGCAAGTTCAACAGGTGGTGCATTCATGCGTATGTTCAAAGGATCCACTAGTTCTGGAGAAGATTATGAGTTCCCAAGAGCTATAGCGTTTGCTGCTTCTGCAATCCGTAGTTCAGCTATTGTTGCTGTCACTTGTGACAAAGACATCATCACTGGTGATTATTTTTCTCACTGTTTGTCCTTTGGATTTATTATCTGCATACTAACACTACCTTTGAAGAAACCTCAAATTTAGAATCACCCGCAGAAGATACAAAAGAAAAGGCCTTCAGGATTGACACTGGCTTTATTTGTTTTCACACCTTATTATTGACTTTGTATCTTCTGTAGAGTTGGTTTGAAGCTGAATCTTTAGTGTAAATGTAGAATACCGCTTCCTCTATCTAAATAATTTTTAAGATTTTTTGGTAGATTTTTAGACCAAAGTGCACACCCCTAATAATGCCATTCTAGAATTTTGTTTCTTATTATCAATTCTGCTATGATACTTTTAAGCCGCTTCTATTATTTGGTCTTTCGATGCTGCTGCTAATGCCATCTCTAATACCATTTTTTCTTAACAATAGGTGGGCATGCGGACTGTTCGGTGAAGTTGATCTCCCCAGATGGAGCAAGGACAATTGAAAGTGCTTCTGGGCATCTTGCTCCAGTAACCTGCCTTGCACTTTCCCCTGATAGCAACTACCTTGTGACAGGGTCTCGAGATACTACAGTTATACTCTGGAGGATTCATCAGGCAGGCTTTATACATAAGAAAAATCCTCCTGAACCTCCACCTGCAACACCAAGGACACCACACAGCCCTCTTCCTACTAGTCCTAGTAGCATGAGCATCCTTTTAGAAACCAGGAAGTGTCGAATCGAAGGTCCTATGCATGTGTTAAGAGGACACCTTGGAGAAGTAATTAGCTGTGCAGTTGGTCCAGACTTGGGACTTGTTGTATCCTCGTCAAACATGTCTGGTGTGGTGCTACATTCTTTGCGAACAGGTCGGCTGATAAGGAAGATTCATGTAGCGGAGGCGCATGCTGTATCCTTGTCTTCTCAGGGAATCATATTGGTTTGGAGTGAATCAAAGAAAAGATTATCTAGCTTCACAGTCAATGGAGTCCCTATTGCTACCTCAGTTCTATCACCTTTTTCTGGGGGAGTTAGTTGCATTGAGATTTCTATGGATGGTTATTTTGCCCTGATTGGAACTTGTTCGTCCAGCAATTACAAGTGTGAGGACAATACTGAGGTAGCAGATCGTGAGCCCAACAAATCAAGTCGCAAGGTTGATATATCTGAGCAAACTGAAATCAGGCAATCTGTTAACGTGCCTTCGATCTGCTTTGTTGATCTGCATAAACTTAAGGTTAATAAACAAACAAATCTAAAACAAGTTTCTGATTTACGTTGTTTGTCATTTGATGGAAGTCTTACCAGAAACGTTTTCCTGCTAGGTGTTTCATACACTGGAGCTTGGAAAGGGCCAGGACATCACAGCAATTGCATTAAACGAAGAGAACACTAATCTTCTAGTTTCTACTGCCGATAAGGGCCTAATGGTTTTCACTGATCCTGCTGTGAGTATACTACATATGTCATTATAAATTTTGCATCAGCAATCCAATTTTACCACCTTATATGCGAGCACTTGACCTAATTAGAATGTTGCTAGTTGCATGGAAGTTTGACTTGTGCAACTTTGAACCTTCTTTCTGATTGAATTGGTAATGTTGCAGTTGAGCCTGAAGGTAGTGGATCAGATGCTCCGCCTTGGCTGGGAAGGTGACGGACTTCTTCAGTCATGAGAAAGCCATCGATGTTATAAGTCATTACTTGCTTATAGATTGGTGACGCCCATTCGTTAGCATAGGTAGGAGCAGGGTACTGAAGCAAATGGGTGGAATATGTCATATGTACAAACGAAAAAAGCAATAGGCGTTGCGAGTTAGGCTAGGTCGTATACTGTATCCAACTGGTCGTATAGTCAGAGATAAAGAGGGAACGCGTAGACTTGCTGAGCAACAGTATGATCCTTCTGTTGCGTCAGTTTTGCCTTGTAAATTCTCGGCCGTTCTGTAGAGTGCGTGAATAGATACTTAGCATCTTTGCCAATGTAATTTTGGCTGGTCGCTGCATACCATTTTGATGTGAGTTTTGACTGTTGGCAGCAATAATTAAAGAGTGTTGAAAGGTGTTGGACTAAGTTTTTTATCAGTTGTGATCTGCATGGGCGGCTGCAGCCCCTATTCATCATGGTTACCTTGCCTTATTTCCCTATTGAAGTCTTGTATTGTTACATTCTTTTGACTGCGTTCTGTCATTGCTTTGTTAGGGCTATCTTGTCGCACATTGACCTTTGAAATCTCTGCATTATTTTCCAACCGTTTTTTTTTTTGCAAAAGGGCCAAAAGAATGGTAGTAATATATTTTACTCAAATTAGTGCACAAAATTGTCCCATTAACTTACCATGTGCCAACCTCCCCACTCACTATCATTATGAGCAGTGGAGCATGGCACTGGCCACGGTTCCATTTTCTAGAATCCTCCATCTTTTCCATTCTAGCTTGTGAGTTGTTGAAAGTTTGCCACATTTGTTTTCATATATATTTTTAGCAAAATAAAAACAAATATAAAAATCCCAGAAACGAATATGAAAGCAAATTCTGCTGGAAACGAGTACAATGCAAACATAGTACCCCCATCAATGCCACACCCTGACCATCGAAGAGTGAAGTCTGATTTGAACCCTGAGGTTGTAAAAACAAACCCTCACGTCTAAATTTCTGAAATTGGTACCCTGTACTCTTTCATCCTGGTGGAAATAAATCTTCAGCCATTTTAGGGGTGGATTTGATGATGTGGCATTGAGAGGCTGGGATTGTTGACTTTGACCGGTATAGAGAAAAAGGAAATTTAATGGCGTGCCGTAATATTCGAACACGAAACCCGCATGGCACATAGACGCGGAGCTGACCACCGCACGATACAGCTCAATCTATAGGTATTTATCTTTATAAAGTACTCCCTTCGTTCTATAATATAGAACATTTTTTGATAATACACTAATGTCAAAAAACATCTTACATTATGATGAAACGGAGGGTGTATTTTACTATTAACCATAGTGTGGGCAACAGGTAACAACCCAAGGGCCACGGCGATGCCCATACTCGTCCTAGGCTTTTGCCATTCTCACCTGCGCCCGTACGAGCTCCACTGCCTCATATTTGTGCTCGAGCGCCTCGTTCACCTTTGATGCCTCAATTGTCTAGAGCCGCGCCGCCCCCTCATATATAAACGAAATAGCGTGCTAATAGCCGAAAATGCATAGGAGCTCTCGCGTGCTACGCCCCCCTATATTCAAAAATAATTTAGTAATTCAAAAAAGTCAAAAAATCCCGAAACTTTTTGTGGAATCAAACATGACCAAGTATTGCACTTGTACAAAAAGATCAAACAAGGAATGACTTTTATTGTATCCGGGGTTAAATATTTTCCCAAAAATGCTAGATACAAGTACTATTCATGCTATATTGCCGTCATAAATTTGTCTTTTTTGCCCCGAAGTTAACGAGAATCATTCCTTGGCCAAATTTTTTATATGAATACAATACCTAGTCATATTTGGTTCAAAAATATATCCAAGATTTTTTTGATGTTTTTTTGAATTATTAAATTATTTTTGAATATAGGGGGGTGGAGCACCTGAGTGCTCCTAATCCGCTTCCGCTAATAGCGCGCTATTTTGCAAAATAGCGTTTCACAAAACATTATTCAGATTTCAGCATATAGCATACAAATGACAGATATATCAACACAAATGACAAATTTCAGCAGCTAAAACCAAGGCTAAAACATTGTTCAGATAACAAAGCATGGTCCAGATATAGGCATATAGCACTGTTCAGAGTTCATACATTCAGATTTTAGACAAACAAAGTAGACAGATAAATTAAACAGCCAACAAGCAAGGTCCAGAATAGCAGAAATAAGGACTTAGGACTTTAGGAGCCAGCCAACAATGATGCAGAAGCTCAATCAGAATCAGATGAACTTGCTGCCATGGCATCATCATCCGAATCAGAAGAAGAACCCACAGATTGCAGCTCATCATCACGAAAAACTGGGAGCAACTTCTTCCTAGGTTGACGAGCTTTATTTCTTTTTGATGCAGCAGCTCTTGCTCTCGGTTGTGGTATTGGTTCTCCTTCAGGTTCATCTGCAGTATCCACAACTGGAACCGGCACAATTCCTATGATCCACTCGTTATCTTCATCTTCTACAACATCTGCATGTGTTCTGTCCACAAGTGGATCCCTGTCTTTGTCCATTCTCTTTTGTTCAAGTTGGGAGTTGGCCTTGATGAAGACAAGATCTCTCATTTTGTCATGAAGTAGCCTGCTGCGCTTTTTGCTGCCTTGAACCTGATTGTACATTGCAAGTAAATAAACATCAGTAAGAAAAAGAAACATATGTGCATATAAAGGATATGTTGACAATTTGTACTTTGTACTACATTCTTACCTGCTGAAAAACACTGAAGTTTCTCTCACAAGCTGATGAGCTGCATGTCAAGCTCAAAATCCGCATAGCCAGTACCCTGAGATTTGGTGCACTTGATCCATGATTGGACCACCATTCAGCTGCATCAACAAGTAACAAATAACAGTTAACAAAGCTGCAACATCTAATTCGCATTGCAACCTACACATCTTATTTCAACAATGTAAATATTTAGTTCTTTACCTGGATCAAAGTTCTTGTTTCTCCACTGCCTTTTAGCACTGTCCCTTCCAAACGACCCCTCTTCATTTCGATATGCCTGACACTCAGCTGTCATTATATCTTCCTTCTTACCATCTCTAACCATCTTCTCCATGCAAGCAACAAGGCCATCTTTAAATGTTCCATCCAACTCAATCTCCAGCGTGTTTTCATAGTATTAGTATGGGTTTAAGAAGTATCCAGCCCTATGTAGGGGCCCCTTCAATTTGTTGTCCCATCTCTTATCAATAATGTGTAGCACTTCCTGGATACTAGCCTCCTCATTGTCAAATCTAGCTGCAATCTCCTTCTTTGCATCCAAAAAAGCGCCATATATGAAACCCATAGCTGGTACATCACTGTCCATTCGCCGCAACAAATTAGCCAAAGGCTCAAAGAAGTTGACAACACGTTCTACTCCCGTCCAAAAATTTTCAGAGCCGCACACTTCGGTTTGAATCACGTCCTTTCACCTTTTTTAAGTAACCCATTTCATCCATCTGATATGATCTGAATAGCTTTTGCAGTTCTTTCTTGTTGTCCAACATGCTTTTCAAGTTCAAGTAAGCTGTAGCAAACCTTGTAATGCCAGACCTCACCAGATTTTTCCCAAGGAATTCCCTCATTAGAGACAAAACTCTAGTGTGTGCATAAAGGAAAACAGTGACAACTCTAGCTTGTGTAATAGTAGAGTCCACTGTTTTAAGCTTGCCAATATCATCTAACATCAGATCAATAGAATGGGCAGCACAACCATTCCAAAATATGTTGGGGCGCTTTGCTTTCAACAAGGTTGATGCTGCTTGATTAACACTTGCATTATCAGTCACAACTTGAACTACATGCTTCTCACCAACCTCTTCTATGCATCTATCAACAAGCTCAAAGATGTACTTCCCATCTTTCTTCACGGCTAAATAGTCCACAAAATTAAGAAACACCACACCATGAGCACTATGAACTACAAGATTCATTACCCCTCTTCCTCTTATGTCAGTCCATGCATCTGTCATGATTGTACATCCAGTAAGCTCCCAAGTCTTCCTGTGTGCATTGAAGGACTCCTGAACTCTTTTCTTCCTCTTATTCAATATTGGGACACCCATTTCATAAGGAGTAGGACCGTCCAAGTCCTCACCATACTGTCCAATTGACTGAAGCATGAGGTCAAAGCTGGGAAGTGTGACTGCGTTGAATGGAATGCAAGCTTCATAGAACCACTGGCAGATGTACTCACAAGCACGAGCCCTTTTTTGTTCTCTCTTCTCAATTGTCAGCTTCCCCTGGATCGTGTCAGCACCACGTTTCCTCTTCCTTGCGGCAACTGAAGGAAACATGCCCTAGAGGCAATAATAAAGTTATTATTTATTTCCTTATTTCATGATAAATGTTTATTATTCATGCTAGAATTGTATCAACCGGAAACATAATACATGTGTGAATACATAGACAAACAGAGTGTCACTAGTATGCCTCTATTTGACTAGCTCGTTGAATCAAAGATGGTTAAGTTTCCTAGCCATAGACATGAGTTGTCATTTGATTAACGGGGTCACATCATTAGAGAATGATGTGATTGACTTGACCCATTCCGTTAGCATAGCACTTGATCGTTTAGTTTGTTGCTATTGCTTTCTTCATGACTTATACATGTTCCTATGACTATGAGATTATGCAACTCTCGTTTACCGGAGGAACACTTTGTGTGCTAACAAATGTCACAACGTAACTGGGTGATTATAAAGGTGCTCTACAGGTGTCTCCAAAGGTACTTGTTGGGTTGGCGTATTTCGAGATTAGGATTTGTCACTCCGATTGTCGGAGAGGTATCTCTAGGCCCTCTCGGTAATGCACATCACTTAAAGCCTTGCAAGCATTGCAACTAATGAGTTAGTTGCGGGATGATGTATTACAGAACGAGTAAAGAGACTTGCCGGTAATGAGATTGAACTAGGTATTGAGATACCGACGATCGAATTTCGGGCAAGTAACATACCATTGATAAAGGGAACAACGTATGTTGTTATGCGGTTTGACCGA